GAGACAAGGTTTCCCTCCCCGCTGCACCATGCCTTGCCTCGCTCATATTGGGAGCGCAGATTTGGATACAAATCTTTTATTTTTACTGAAGAATTGATTTCATGGCTGCCCTAAGTGAATAAAGCTGTGATGTATTAACTAATGTCAGCCATAGGATGTTTACCTATTTGTCTTTGCTGCAGTGTTGCCCCTAGTATTTTATTCCTCTCTTCTCCGAGACTCGTTAAAGTTGCAAACATAACCAGGGTGCTCCTAATGAAACAATTGCAGCCGAGCGGCCCGATGTGCACAGGAACACCTCCAGCAAAAGCTGATAAATGCTTTTGTTTATGATTTCTTTTCTCTTCCTGCTCTGTTTGCATGGAGAAGGGATGGGGAAATGTATTGGCTTCCTCTTAGTTGTAACAAAGTTTAACAAAAAGGGGAATAATGGGTGCCGGGAAGCAGGGATGGGGAGGTGGTTGTGGGACCTGCAACTGGAGCATCGCTGGGGTAGTGGCACATGTATGGCTGGGTGGTGCGTTTTCAAGGGAACTGTGCTGAGGCTGGGGGCAGCTGGTAAAGGGTCTGTGGTCCCCAGCAGCTCCCTGGTGAGAATCACAGAACCCCAGAGTGGTTTGGGTTGAAGGGACCTTAAAGCTCATCCAGTTCCAACCCCTGCCCCAGGCAGGGTCACCTTCCACTAGACCCAGTTTCTCCAACCTGTGTCCAACCTGGCCTTGAAAACTGCCAGGGATGGGGCAGCCACAGCTTCTCTGGGCACCCGGTGCCAGCGCCTCAGCACCCTCACAGGGAAGAGCTTCTGCCTAAGAGCTCATCTCTATCTCCCCTCTGGCAGGTTAAAGCCATTCCCCTTGGCCTGTCCCTACAGGCCCTTGTCCAAAGCCCCTCTCCAGGTTTCCTGCAGCCCCTTTAGGCACTGGAGCTGCTCTAACGTCTCCCCTTCAGGAGCCTTCTCTTCTCCAGGCTGACCCAGCCCATCTCTCTCAGCCTGGCTCCAGAGCAGAGCTGCTCCAGCCCTCACTGCATCTCCATGGCCTTCTCTGGACCCACTTGAGCAAGTCCATTTCCTTTTTGTGCTGGAGTCCCCAGAGCTGAACACAGTACTCAGGTGGGGCTTCACGAGAGTGGAGTAGACAGCAGAATGCTGGCGGGGCTGCATATGTTGGATGGGGAGCATGTCTCCCTTGTATGTGGGGTTTGTGAGAGGAGCCCAAAGCACCAAACTGCTTTTCCTTTCATTCCTACATTGAAGGAATTTGCATCCCAGGAAGGGCTCTGTGCATGATAAGAATAACTCAAGTTCCTGAGCTGCATGGTGGTGAAGGGCTGGCTTTCCTGGTGCCATACAGCTGTACAAACACAGCTCCATACACATCTCCTGCTCCATTCCAGGCGCTGCCGGCCCTGAGCTGGTGGGATGAGTGGCCAGAGCCACAGCAGCAGCAGATTGTGCTGGTGGCTTCACCCCAGCTCAGTGCTTGGGCAAATGGCTGCTGTGATTTGTACCTCTTTGTGCCCCTGTAAGCCAGTGCCAGGAGTGTTCCAGTCCTCTGGTGTGGTGGTTATTAATGCAGAGGGAGCATTTTGGGAGTCCCAAGCTGGTTGATTGGTATAGCAGGGTTTGAATTCTGCGCTGAATATGACTAATAATCCATGACCTGGCTGTGATTATAGATGAAAGAAAGCTGATGAAGAGACCCTGCAGTGGCACAGAAAGGAATTAGACATTGTCTAAAGCCAGGGCAGTGCTGGAGCATTTGGATTTCACATCTGAGATTCATGGGTGAATAATTCAGCACTTGAAAAAATGCTTCAGCCACAGTGTGACATCTCCACATCTTCTTTCAGTGATATCCAAGACTTTAACTAAACATCGCTTCCCAGGGAGCTGGGGCAGCTGTCCAGATATTTCTCCTCTTAAATATCAGCATTCCAGATTGTTACCTGGATACGGATGGGGATTTTGGACCGATATCTTAGGAGCTGCAGTCTCTCTTAATGCAGGATTTTACCTTCAGAAATCGCCTTCAGCAGTTGGCGGAACCCAAAATCTTTCCAAGTGGAAATTAAGAGATGTAGCTTTACATTTAATTGAGGCTATTGTCTAGTCGGGTGAACTGCTAAGGCATGCAGAGCGGGGGAGAGGGGTTGTCTGGGAATTCTAAATAACTGAACCAGCTCTCAGAGGCAAGTGTTGGCAGATTTATTAAATCTGAATAGGAAAGTGGAGGAAAAGTGGAATGCGTATAAACCAGCCTTGTAAAATGGCTTGCTGGTTTAGAAATGCAGGAGTCCTATAACCTAAACCCGCCACTGTATTTTAAAGCTAAATACAAGGCTATTAAATCTCTGCATTTGAATGGTGAGGTATAACCCTCCGGAAGTGTAAGCGTTAAAGTGTTCATACAACCTGAACTCTGCTTCCTCCAGTGTATACATTAGAATAAGTCTTTAAATAAATGATCACATGTTATTCCTCACCTAATTCATCCTGAATTATTAGCTAAAAATGGATGGTACCTTATAGCTGTCATCAATTCAGGCTCCTTATCAGACCTAATAAATTCTTTTCTCAGCCTGATAAGTGTTTTGATCATCTGCTTTTCCTACCTACCCTTATTCCCTTTTTAGCCAGAAGCATTCTCTCCTTTAGATGCACATCACGGGATGAGACTAGGAAGTTTTTCTGCACATAAAATTTGGTGGTCCAACTGTGTCAGCTGTAGGAAACTACTAACACTGTTATGAAAATATGCATAAGTCAGTGGGGACTGTCGTTTCTCTCAGTGTAAGTCACTTTTGGCTTCACCTTGCCTGGCAGACCCAATGCACTAAGGTGGTCTCTGGGAAAAAATGATGATGATGTATTTAAGGGCTGCTACCCAGTTGTGTAATTAAAGGTTTTGAAAGCAAAAGCAAATGATCAGAAGTAACCCCAGCTTTGTACTCTGGAGCTAAGAAGCACAGGCTTTCCTTTCCCAACGCAAGAAATATGCAGGAATTGCATGAAGTTGAAGGTTTTAAAAGGAAATCATATGGAAGAGCCCATCTGCTATCAATACAGTTATTTGTATGTATATAAAAAGGAAAAAACCTTCTAAAACTTAGGCTGTTTATGAAGGATCTGTCTAGAAACTTGGATATAATGGCTGAAGGATCTTTGTCTTTCATATCCCTGAAGAACATCACCCTTTTAATCAGGGTCTCTCACCTTTGCCTCCTCTCTAACCATCTGCTTTCTGTAGTTCTCAAAGCTGATGGTGACTTGCATTTTAGTACCTCGCATGTCCCATGGTAAGGGAACTGTAGTGAGGAGAGGAAATAAGCCCTTCTGCCTGCAGGCAGCTCCTTGTTTCATAGTTAATAGGAGGAGTAAATATCCTGGAGAGGAGGTTCAGTGGAGGAACTGGGCTGGGCAGAGCTCACCTGAGGGTCCAGCTTTTGCGATGGAGCTTCCTTCCACCCATCACATCTAGGCACTGCAGTCATAGGGGGAAGGAGCCCCTGCCATTGCCGTGAGCAAGGATTGTCCATGCAGTGCTCCTTGCGGCAGTGCTTTGCTTAAACATGGGAGGAACGAGCCCTTCCTCCTCCTGCTCCAGCTTAATTCCTTAATTCCTTCTTGTGCCTGAGCCAGCCACTCACTTGTTTGCCCTTTAGATCTGTGCTTTCATGAAAATGACGTATACTTGAGAAATTAACACTTTTTAACCTGAGTCCACGTTGGCCAATTGCTAATAAGAGGCAAATGAGCTTTGCTGAGATTCCTTTTTTCCTACAATGTTTCTAATTTGAAGATATTAGAAAAGAGAAATGTTTACCCCACTAGGGTTACTGCAAATATCCTGACGAGCTTTCATATCCTCCTCCAGCACCAGGCAGCGTAATTGCTCTCCTTAGTCCAAACTTTAATATATTACAAATTTGTACAGTAAAAAAACCTCCTCTTTTCTTCTATTTTTAAAGCTGGTGGTTAACAGGGATGAGAAGAGAGTGTTTCTGATGGGGAACCTTAAGAAGTCAAGAAAAAGGTGATCGTAAAGTTTAGGACAATCTCTTCTTCAACATCCCTCTGTGAAATCCCATTTCCTCGTGCTCTTCTGGCTCCGTGTTAATCCATATCTTTAAACAAGATTTTACACACCCTTCTTCAGCTGGGTTATTTGATAAAATCCAGTGTGCAAGGGACTGTAAAACATCCCCTTTCTTAGTAAGCTTCTGTAATATTAATGCACTTGACCTTGGGCTCTCATATTTCCTGATTAAGTTCATAGGAAGAGTTTGTTAAGCTTGTAAGATATGTCTTGTACACGTGTCCATAAAGACTGCAGCAGGAAGAGAATTTTGGTGATAAGTTCATTTAAATGAAGCAATTCTGCCCATCAAGAACTCCCCATCCCAAACTGTTCTTTTATGGCTTTTGTTATTTTAGATTAGACTGATACCTAATTAGCTTTGGAGAGATCCTTGTGGTATTGTAAGGTTAATACCCCAGTAGGGCACTGACTTTTCAACCTTTGCAGATTTATGTGACTTGGGGTTTTTAATCATTCCAGCCTGATTTTCTCAGAAATAAATGCAGGCCCTTAACATTTCTGATTTAGCTTAACTTTGTATCTGCAGGCTGAGTGGAAACTGCATGTTTGGAATTACAGTTGTTCTTAAGGTGGAAAGGCAGAAAGCAGCGTTATGGGCTGCCTTTGGGCAGCCTTTTCTTCTTCTACCTGTAATTGCTGGCAGGTCAGTGACAGCAGTGGGTATTGCTCATATTATCCTCATCAAGGCAACACCTCATGCTAGAACAGCAAGAGCAGCTCTGCTTGACAAAGCAAAAACGTAACTTCTCAACTCATCTCTAGAGAAAAACGCTTCTTTCACTCTTTTCCCATTCACTTTGGCCTGAGACTTCGCTGTGGTATCCTGCACGTTATTTTTGTAGCTATCATGTAGTGTGTCAAGTGCCCTCTTCATTCTATCAGCAGTTTGTCCGCCTACAGCGAATCCGGAGTGATCCGGAGTCACCCCCCAAGCTCGGACACCGCCTGGCCATCTGCCAATGTGACAACTCACGCTCGGCATGGGCATCAGTTGGTGAAGTGAGTCTATAGGACACAAAGTAGGTACAATCTGTCACCTGTGTGCTTCCTACAGCTCTCTTCGGTCCCTTCCAGTGGGAGGGAGTATCACCTCCATGCCTAATCTAATTAAGCAGAGCCATTGAAACAATACAGAGCCCTTAAAATTCAGCTGTGAACCAAGGTGGATCTGCTTGCTTATCAGTCTGTGGGTAAGTGGTGGGATCTGCTTCCCACTCCCTTGTGGGGTTGTTTAAAGACTTTCTCTCCTGGTTCTGGCTGAGGCAGGATTTTACCTCTCGTACAAGCTAGAATTGATGGTTGAGAGAAGAGGCCCCTCTTAAAGTTGTCCAAAAGTGTCTGTTTTCTCTCCCAGGTGAACTATAGTTTTCCTTGGTATCTCTTACAAGCAGGATTGACAGCCTGTTTTAGCTTCTCCCTGGCTCACCTAGCATTTGTTTCAGAGAATAAGTTAATTTGCTTTACTGATTTGCACAACAGTTTACCTCTGATTCCCAGTATAGGGTGATGTTTTGGGACCTCTCTGCCAGTTTTTGAACCCCAGGATTGGAAGGGCCTCAATCCTGGGCCACTGTGGTTGTCTCTTGTTTTGCTTTTCTGGTATATTGCTGCGGGGGGTGGTTTGTGACTTACGGTTTGTTAGTAAGCTTTGTTAATGAGCTCTTCACTCTCTTCATGGCCTTGCCAGCCTTCCATTGCAATTAATTGATTTGATCTTAGATACTCCTGAAAATCTTTGTATGTATCTGGTGCTGAGAGGCAGCATAGGGCAGGTGTGCGCTATTCCCAAGTATTGGGTGTATTTGAGTTCCTGTCTACTGAAGTCAGCTCTGCTAGGACATAATTAAACCTGCTGATTTATGACCCTCAGGGAGCTATATAGAGTGTTTCAAGTCCTAAGATATGTGCCTGTGCTGCGGAGAAGTGAGATCAGGGTTCTTCCTCTTTCAGATATATTCAGGTCTTGCTCTTCCAACAAATATCCTCCTTTTCTCCGTTCTTTACAGTTTCAATGTATCAAGAGCTAAGGTTAGGAAATCCCTAAAATCCTCTCTTGCCTTCCCTCATCCCATCCCAGACAAAGATAACCTGCTTCTCTAAATACAGTAGAAATCCTAACAAGCTGCAAAAAGAAGGAGCTAACCCTGGCTCGATAGCTGCTGCTGTTAATTTTCTTCTAAGGTGACCTTTGCTCAGGGGGGACCAGGAGTCCTCATCCAGCAGCCTGTCTGCTAAGACAGAAAGGATGTATTTAGCTCATGAAATTACAAGCCTGTCCTGGGGATCAAGTGGCAGTTGTAGCTGTCACAGTTTTCATCACTGATTTTTTTAATAGGCTTGTACCAGTGGCTTAATACTAGGTCTGTCATCAGTTGTAAAAGTGTTTTTCTTTGGATAAGGCTATTCTTTTTAGTAATTGTAGAGATGTTTTACTTTAGGCCATCTCAGCTAAACCAAAGTTTGTTTTCTTTTTCATTTTCAGAGATGAAAATCTAGCCCTCAGCTTGCCAGTGCTTTTCAGATCTACACAGTGGTGATGCTAATTATTGCTTCATTTCCTCCTGACCAAAAAGAAACCCTGCGACTCTTCTTCATAGCCCTCCCTTGCTCTTGGTACCCAGGAATCCTCTTTGTGCTTCTTGACCCTAAAATCGGGTGTACTCACTTAAACCCTCACAAGTTTACCTGGGCTCCTCACCTGCATTTCCTCACTCTTGTTATTCCCAGGGGAACAGTTCTCTGGTCCCACAGTGTGAAAAGGGATATTTGTTTTATCCCACATCTAGTGAAAAGGGACATCAGTTTCTTCCTTACTTGAGTCACCAACTTTCTAACAGGTTCCCCACTGGCATGTCAGAGGATGTGGTGTCGAGTTGTGCTCTTCCAGTGCTGGTGTCCTTTGGTTTTGGACTTGGACTGTCTATTTCCCCCCCCCCATTTTCTCAGTCTCTCTGTTCTCCACATTACTACTTGAACTTCTATATCCCTGTGAGGTTCCCCCTCTCCCCAGTTACTGCCCTATCCCTTGCACACTCATAGTGCAATCATTCTTTACTCCCTTTCTCTGTATTTTGGTACTCTCTCATCTTTTGGGTTCAGCTCTCCTTTCCCTAATACAGTACAGTATTATGCTGAAATACACCATATTTCAGACATTCCCTCATGTATTTCAGCTTCTCAAGGATTTTAATTGCTGCCTTTTTCCCTTTATGATATACTGCTGTTCTTGATGTGTGAGAATACATTTACAGAGAAAGCTCCTTCTGTATTTTACCTGTGCTTTGTCAGGAAGGCTATAATTTTGTTCACTTCCTTCCTTTTTCCTTCAAGTTGTTTGTGACAGGTCTGAAACACCTGCACCTTATGTCCTCCCAGAGTAAGATCGGAAACTGTCATTTATTTCAGAGTCGGCTCTAAAACAGGCTGCTCTTCATATCCTATCTTGGGGTCTGCTGGAGTTAGGGCTTGGGCTCTGTGATAATTGTTGCATCTGCTTTCAGCTGAGGAAAAAGTGGAGGCTTGCTATGAATATTAACAAGCCATCCATCCTTTACACCTTCTGGGAACACACTACTTCTTAAAATTGTTTCTTCTTTTCATGGTTTTTGTGTTCTCCATTTTCTCTACAAGCTCTTTTAGTATCAGTTTCATTTTTTTTATCCCTCACATTTATTCCTGAATTGAGGCTTTTATCTGTATTTATCATTCAATCACATTGGAACTCGATGGTCTTCAGGTCCTTTCCAACCCCCTGCCATGGGAAGAGACACCTTCCATTAGACCAGGTTGCTCCAAGCCCCCTCCAACCTGGCCTTGAACACTGCCAGGGATGAGAAGTGTCAGTCTGAACCCATTACCTATCACTACAGGCCCTGATGGAGAGTCCTAGGTTGCTGAACCTATTCTCAGCTAATGCTGACTCTAGCAAACCTTACCTTCTTTAGGTGTAGATGTCTCACTGCTGGGATTGACCCACAGAGGCCTTCTTTGTTTTCTGTTTCTCCTTCACTTGACCTTTTCTCCTATGTGCTCACCATCATTGATATAAAAACCCCAGGGAACTGCTGAGAGATATGATTTCCTATGAGTTTTTCCTGGGAAGATAACTTTAGAACCAGAATCCTTAAGTCCAACATCCCTTTTATGGACTAGAGAATGACTTCATGATGGGCAGAGCAGGAGGATGGTTTTGTAGTGTACTTTTCCTTACAGATTTCACCTTTCCAACCCTGTTGGTTCTGGAAACTTCATGTACTCTTTATATCTTTTTTCTTGTCATGGTGCTGGGCAAAATTCAGAGACCCTTGGCCTAAATAAACATGTAAATCCTTGAAAAAACAGGTTTACTTAGAGCCATACTTTTAGGCTTCGTAGTAAAATACATCCCCATCTGCTGGCAAATGAAAATTTTGTCACTTCACCCACCAGTTATCAAATTATAGTGAAAAAAAAACAAGGATCAAATGGAATCCCTGGAATAAATCTGGGAATTTCAGAAGCTGGTAGGAAAACAGCATCCTTCAGGTCAGGAAGAGAGCTGCAGCAGCTCCTGGGGTGTGATGGGATCGTTGCCCCACCACACATTTTCCATGGGAAGATCTCTATCCTATGTCCTACCCAGGTTTTGTCAGGACTAAAAGGAAAACCAGCCCAAGGGCGGTGGGAGGAATAGATAAAGGAAAAGAAGACAACAGAAAACCACTTGGCTATCTCCCTCTGCAGAGGTCTCGCTGCCCACTTGAGCTCAGGAGGAGGCGCGTGATGGGGTGGCCTCGCTTTCGAGAGGAGCTGTGCGCTCAGCGATGCAGCCTGGAGGGGCAGGAAATGTGGTTCTTCGGGAGAGCTTGTTTCCATTTACAGCTGATCCCTGGCAGATGCCCCTGAACTCTTGCTTTGTGCTTCTGCAGGAGAGTTCGTGAAGTCCTGCAAGAGCAGGAGACGCCGTTGTTAGGAAGAGCACAGCACGTTCAGCATTCATTCGTGCCACGGGTAGAACTGAATTCCCTTCTACTATTACTCCACTGAATATAAAAAATCCCGGAGACATTTACATGGTATTTCTTTTTAAGTATATAATGTTTTCATTCAAAAGTATCATAATTCTTAAAAGACCTGTCAGAGGCTCTGACATGTAATTAATTTCTCTAAAGCTCTTTTTTTGAAAGCTACAACTGCATATATGGAACACCTGCGCTTATTCACAACTCTGCAGGAGAAAAAGCCACGTCTTCTCCTTCGCTTTCTTCCCCCACTTCTCCATAAAAAGATTTTCCTTCACTTTCGCTACTCCCTCTCCATCTACCCTCATGATCTACAACAAATAAAAAGCACTCAGTATATAAAAGCTGTGTGTAAATAGGAACTGGCACATTGGGTTTTTGTCTGGGTGCTGGTGACCTTTTGTTTATTCAGCTTTAAGCCGAAACACTCTTGCAACTTTAATTATGGAAGAGCTATTGCTAACCCCTAATCTAGTCCATCTAATATAATTCCCATATGTGTAGGTGGGCTTTCAGTCAGTCGAGTAGGCTGTTTATTTTTACCTGGTAGATTATTTTTTTCTCCTCTGCTTGGGAGGAGAGTATTAAGCTTTAACAGTATAATGCTGGTGCCCAGGAAATACGAACAAGGAGATGTTCACCTAGCTATGGAGATATACATACATATATATATATATGTATATATACACACGTGGCCAAGCACTGATTAGGTGGTGGTCATGGCTAGCTGGCTTTGCTTTATCTCCTGTTAAGTGCTTCCAGGGTGTCACTGCAACCATCACTGCTTCTGCTGGAAAATGCTATCAGCCAAATCACTGCTGCTTCCCAAGGAAGAGTCTGTGGAGAGTCCTCCTTGGGGGGAGGAAATCTGTCCAGCAGGTTCCTTGGCACAATCTATCCTTAAGCCAGCATCTGGGGCACCAGGGGTTTCCAGCTGGAGATGCTGAAGAGCATGTCTCTTCCCATGGCACCTCTGACTGCAGCAAGGTGATGAACCCTTACCTGTACTCTTTGTAAGC